GAATATCGAATGTATTCGTGTTCCTGCCCAATTTCTCTGTTTAGGACCACGAACAGTGATTCAATATCTAATCTGACTCCTCCGTCACAACAGAGTGAACGCAAAAGCTGTAACATGCGCTTCCGGTATGCTTTCGTATCTTGTACGTGCATACTCTGTTTGGAAGTCACCAATATGTTTGGCATCCTCGTCATAGCTCCCTTTTTCCGATGTCTGTCTTCTGATTCGGTGTGGATCTTTGTTTATCTGTCTTCGGATTTTTTCTTGACAGATCTTTCCAATTCCAACCTCACCGTCAGAGACAATTACATTTTTCGTCGTTTCTGTCTAAAGGGGCTTTTGTTGACACATCGGACGCAATGACAACAATTTCGGTTTTCCTCCGATTGTCGTTCATCATCTCCTTTCGTTGCTTTCTGTGCGTCTTTCCCAGTGTGACGGCTGTGATCATCCTGCACGCGTATTTGGGGGGAAATTTTCTTAATCATTAAATTTGATTATATAAACTACTCAACCTTTGACAAATTCATCAGTGTTTCATTCGTGACAAAGTTGTTTTTCTGAACAAAAAAAAAATTTTTTTTTTCAGTTCTACAGTTTGGAACTTGAAAAACGCGTTTCTATCCTGAACATTCAGAATCCACAAGGAGAATATTTACAAATATGATTTCGTTTCGCGACAATTCTGTTCTCCCGAACGTTTGTATGAACACATTTTTTTTTTTTTTTTTGCATGGTGACCTCTCCCCTCAGAAGAGCTCACCATTTACATTGAGTAAATAGCCCGACGGGTGTAGGTGGCGGCAAGCGCTCCTGAACATAATTATGGGACGTTGACGCGCCTCCCTCTTCCGTGTTTCGGTGAAGAGGTTCCACCGTTTGCCCGAGCCTATGCGTTTTGGGTAGTACCCAAGGAGGTCCCTGACTCCTCAAAGCGTATCTGTGCGACGGTTGTGTCGCGGTCGCGTGCTGACTAATTTCTACCGTTTCCGCTGACTCTGCCTGATCGGGTTGTATCGAATTTAGGATGAATTCATCCCAGGGGTCTATTATTTCGGGTGTTTGTGGTGCTGGGACTGAGTTTTCGGATTTCTCTGTCTCCCGACTAATCTCGTCGGCGGCAAAGGATTTAAACTCCATTCGCGCGACAGCAGGTTTCATTCTATTTGCATGTGTGTGTAACTTCTTTCCCGTAAGGATATGTTGGACGACAAAGTCGACTGGACCGGTCTCCGCTATTATCCTATACGGTCCCTGCCATCTAGGTGCTAACTTCCTTTTTAACCCTGTAGGGACTACTACTTCCGTCACAAATACTCGGTCGCCTAGTAAAAACTTATGGGGTTTATTTTTGCGATCATGGTACACCTTCCTGTCCTGCGCTGCTTTCTCCGCATGTTCCTGCGCTAATCTATGCGCTAAAGCTAACCTCGACCTCAGTTCACTCGCATAGTTCTCACTAACATCGTA